GGACAATGTTGGTGTTGGTGGACCACACTTGCTTATTGTCTTGTTCTTAGTTTGGTTAACATGCCATACATTTGGTGTACAGCACCAAAAAGTTGCGCAACACGTTCTTTTATTTCCTTGCGCTCTTTAATCTGTATGTTGGACTTGTAGGGAAGCAAGTCTAGGATGCGCTTCAGTTGAGTAAAAGTAAAGAGAAAGACATTCTGAAGGATGTCTTTCTCTTTGGCATCGCCAGCAGAATCCCTATCGATAGCACTAGCAAAGGAATCTGAGGCAGGGAGGCTGGAATGAGGAGAGTCCTCGTGGGGTAATTCACCCGAAGAGCATGTGGCATCCATAATAACAAGTAAAAACGATGCGAAGTTAAGACCAAAATAATAAGAAAGCAGAGAGCCGGAAAGCAATAATGATTGATGAATAAATAAAAACGATAAATAATAATTATACTAAATTTAGCTAAAATAACAAATAAACTAGCCTAAAAACAGATATACAACACTACGCAAAAAGTATAGCAAAAATAAAAATTTCGAAAAACTTTTTTTTTTTTTTTTTTTTAACTAAAAATAATTAAAAATGTAGCACTGAAAAAATGGCGAATTTTGGACAAGCCCAACGATATAAGATAACGTACAAAGCGGTCACCGAAGCCCGAGAAAACGGNGCCGAACAATATAAGATAATGTACAAAGCGGCCACCGAAGCCCGAGAAAACGGGCGATTACACAGCCGAATTAGGGTCAGGTAGGGGTGATGACCCAGCCACGTGCTAAGGTCAATGACCTCTGACTCCTTTGTTCATACCTGATCCTAAAATGGCCATAACTCCTTAAAAAAATAATACTAATGCGACCAAATTTAAGGATGGGTAGAGAAACCGCCCGAAAAGGAGTAACACTCGTGGCCCGATAAGCCCGCATGTCGGCCCGAAACACGAAAAGTGTTCGTCGCGAAAAAACTAAAACGGCTTGTCACAGACAAAAACGGAAAGCGCCGTTGAAAAGAGCATAAAGCCCCTACCTGACGATATGAAAGATGACCATGTGCGAGCGAAAACAGGCTGGAGAAAGTTGTTCCAAACCCAAAACTTCCGAAGGCTGCCAAACAAAAACGGCTAAACGGATCCTAAAAAACCACACACCAATTGAAAGCACTCGACGAGAGGAATCCAACGATGTAACTCACTAGATGGATTAATCCATAGGCCCCTCTTGGCTGACTGTCAGATGCAACGGGAGCAACCTGGCCAAAACTAGGGCTGCATCCATAGACACAGTTCTGTACACTCTCATGATTTGCAAGATGGCGGGTCGCTGGATCGTGAGCAAAGTCTTACTCTGACATTGGCAGAATCTTTCCACCATACTCCACAGGCATAGCAGATAACGCATTCTACACACATCTTATAAATGGATTGAATCGCTTCTTTGCTAAGCCCATAATCCTGCCTAGCTAGCCTCGATAGTTCTGCTATCGTTTGGTTTGTTCTGACACAAACACTCCTCAAGTGGGGCATCCAGCATAGTGTCTGGTCGATGATTACGCAGAGTTACTTTAACTCATTCACCCTTTGGATGGGGTTGCCCCGAATCTGGTATATTGGCTGGCATGCCAACACTCCAGTTCGGGCCACTGTCAGGGCCTCTGATTTCTCAGGGCTGAAGGAGAGCTTATTCAGCTCTCCCCAACGAACAAGCCGTTCTATTGCTTTGTTGCCGCGACTCTCCATGTCGTGTTTGCTATATCCTGCAACTACTAACAACAGGTCATCAGTGTAAGCCTGCAGTTGAACTTCGTCCGGGAGGACTAGTTGCTATACCGTGTTGGCGAGAATGTTCCACAATAGGGGACCTATACAAGGATCCTTGTGGGCAGCCCCTTTCCAGTATCCTCTCATAACTTCTGCCTGGTGTCTTGTAGACCACCATGCGGTCACTCAGGACACTCCTGGAAAGTGATACGAGGGTGGTTGGCAGGTTCGTCTTCCGCAGTTCACCCCTTATAGATGGCCACCAGACATTGTCGAAAGCCCCCGCAATGTCCATCGAAACGAGTGACGTGTGGAGGCGGTTCTGGCGAACCAGATCCACCGCCCGATGTAATGTAACATGTCCACACGCCTTGCAGGTGGACATGTCTGGCTGGAATCCATACTGGTGTGGGTGTAATGTAACATCCCTCTCCACTTGAAATTAAATAAAATTCTGTTGCTGAGGATTCTGTCAAGAACTTTCCCCAGCACTGGCAATAGGCTCATTGGCCTATAGGACTTAACCTCATTCTTCGGGCTCCTACTCTTATGTATAAACACAAGATGCGCCCACTTCCACTGCACTGGGAAATGACCCAGGAGCAGGCACTTCTGATACAAGACATGGAGCAGGTTAGGACGTTCCTGTTGCGTAACTTGTATCATTTCGGCCAGGTTCTTTCCTCTTCCTTAGGTTGCCGATGGTGTGAGCTACCTCAGAGTCTGTCATTGGCACAGGCATCTCAGCCTCAAGAACGGGCAACTCCGCGTCACTTCGAAGCTGCTTCTGTTCTTCAGTGTCCTCGGACCACTCATCGCATGGAAAATGTGAGCGGAGCAACACCTCGATCGACTCCTCCTGTGTGGAGGTTAGGGTTCCATCAGGTTTCTTGATGGACCCCAAGACCGTACTACGCTTTAACTTGCCTGCCACTAGCTTGTAGGGGAGGCAGAATGGATTTTCGTCACTAATTTGCTGACAGAAACTGAGCCATGAGGTCTTTTTTGCATCGTTCAGTTTATACTTGTACTTGGCATTGCCCTTCATCAGTCATTGGGTGAAATGTGCATTGATTTTGCACATTTTACCCAATGAACTGAGCAGAGATCTGTCTCTGCTCTGTTGACTGCTTTGTGCCAAACTGCAGAGATTTGTCTCAGCAGTTTGGCACAAAGCAGTCATCTTGCCACAGTTGTCATGGCAGTCATGATGCAATATGTTGATGAAATGATTCAGGAGGAATGATGCATCACAGTCCAACAGCTTGAAGAATGGTTGTGCATTAATGCTAGGAGTGTTCATCAAATCATTTATGAACATGGGTATTTCAAAGTGTGTTCATGATGGGTTTTGAAGCAACTCAAGATTGACCAAAAAAAGCAAGGAAAATCATTGTTTTGGAACTCTTGTGTGAGGATAGCCAGGGGTAGAGGGTCTAGATTAAACTTGTTACTACTTAATCTGCAATGCAGTCTTCGGGACTGGCCTCTGAGTCGTAGGATGGCTTTTTGAGTTTATGAATATGTAGAGACAAGATGATTGTGTAATCACTGTCTCCTGTCAGGATTCCCAACACCAGATAGGGATGATTTGCATGCCCTATCGTGTGTAAACAATATGCATAGGAGGGTTATTCGACGATAAATACTTCAAACTCAATAAATGAATGGAATCGAATAATAAATATAACAAACATTATTTATTAGATTAAAGAAATAAACTATATACAGAACTCCAAATACCATATAAGAAAGCATTGGGAACATAATGGAGTTTAACAAACTTATATCTAACTGTATCTATTCTATACCTCGCATGAACAACTATTCGAGAGAGAGCTTACAAATATTCAAATATATACTACCTTGATACGTTGTCTTCGTCTTTTTGATGGAGGAGTGGAAGAGTCAAAGGATTTATGGTGGAAAGACCTTACTATGGCTGTCTGGAGTTAAGTGGCACATTCTATGTTCAATGAACTGCCCTCTATGGCATGTTGTATTTTCGTGGACTGCCTCAAATTGCAGGCAAACTCCCCTTTTATTTGGCCATTCTGACCAATAGCATTCACCCACACACAGGATGTTCAAGGATATGTGAAGGGGGTAAACTGACATATGGCTGTTCAAAAAAGTGATAAGGCTAGGCTATGTGGGAAAGGATGTAGGTTTCCTCTTTCTCTAAAAACAACGAATAAAACATCCTTTCTTGTGAATAATATTTAGAGAAATAATATATTTTCTTATAATAATTAACCTAATAAATCCCAATTCTCACACTTGCAACACTGAGTTTGATGGTGACAAATCCTTTGCGTGCATCTTATGATGCATGCAAAGGATTAAGTGCCAGTCAGATAAAGATGTCAATGCTATAAGGAAGTGGTTGCATGCACAGAATCATGACTGGTATTGAGTCTACATACATGCCCTCTTTCAATGCTGGCATATGGCCAAATGCAACGGCAGAGACTGTTGAAAAATAACATGAATAGCTGAAGGTAACAGCTAGATGTCCAAGTTTCATGACTATGTTTCATACTAACAGCAAAATAAACTCTGGTGCATTACTTTTTGGACAAACCTTGTATTTATTATTTTTAATCATGTGTAAGGGAATTTATTTCACAGAAGTAATATAAAAATGATTTTACAGTAGAGCGTCGATTATCCGACTCAGTTGGGAATCAGGTTGGTTGGATAACTGAAAAAATCAGATAACTGAAAAGAATGAAAAAAATGCATTATTAGTATAGTATATTAGTATATCCCATGTAATTAGTATATTAGTATATCGCTATTAACCAACTTTGCGGTGAATTTTCATCGATGTTAAGCCTAACCAATTTTTTTTAAAATAATAATCGCCACTATTGTATCGTTAAAAATTATTTTTAAATTATTTTATTGTTCACAAAATAAACAACCACTCAATTAGAAAATTAAGTCTCGTTTAAATACTGGCCTCCCTTCAATGGTCAAGGCGATGTTGCCAGGTAAAACATGCAAAAATTTAACAAAAATAATATTAAAGTAGCCAAGACATAGCCAAATATTGTAGTGTCACATCACTAGCGGGCATTTGAAATTTGCCGACTAGAACGGTCGGTTAACCGAGGTGATGATTAATCGGGGGTCGTATAATCGATGCTCTACTGTATCAGAAAAATATTCAAAAAATAAATCAATATTTCTTTAAAGATCTAATAATTTGTTATAAATTCCTATATTTCTTAAATTTATTTGTTAGATCTGCAGCTGTAAAGGAAACTAATTCAGGATCTGAACAATCTCCTTCCAATGTTGCTAACAAAGTAAGAATAAAATTTTTGAATTTGGTATATAAATTTAATTAGAAATTAAAACACAATCCAAATAAAAATATTTATCTTTATTCTTTAATATACTGTTTAATTTTATTATTTTAAGATTGTTTTAAATTTTCGCTGGATGATAAAATTTTTCTTTAAAAATTAAGACGTAGTCACTTCCAAAATTTCTGGATGATGATCATATTTCTTTTAAAAGTTCCTTAGTAAAAACTTCAGACAACCCGACCTTCCTTTTTAGGCTACGTGGCCGTCCTGGAAAAAGTTCCTTAAAACATAGAAACAACCAATTAAAAAGTAATAATTTTTTTAAAATTGGATTTGATGATCTTACGACATCTTGCTTCATTCTTCTCTGTTTGGGAGTTTCTTTATATCTACTGGAAATTTGCACTGTTTAATGTAGATTATCTTCTATCCTCCCTCTGGTGGCGAATTATTATTAAGTTTTAAATTTTCGCTCGATGATAAAATTTTTCTTTAAAAATTAAGACTTATTAAGAAATAGGACAATATGATGATCACCCAGAAATTTTGGAAGCGACTACGTCTTAATTTTTAAAGAAAAATTTTAAGATTGTTGTTTAAAAAGTTTACAGTAAATCAGTTCAGATTTTTGGGCTGCTGTTTGGAAAAATTGCAGACCTGTAAAATTCTACCATCATCCATCCATCTGTTTCTTTCCTTAATCTTGAGAATGGAGTTAGATAGATGGGACAGGAGGCCCCGATTAACTATATACAAACTTCTGATGCAAACTGGAAGTCACATTATTTCAATTTAAAAATTTTTCCCTCAAAGATGTTAGATAGATGACCAGCACAACTCTATTGTTAAAGGAAAAGTGTGATGCAGCCAACACATCCTGATAGTCATATTGTTGTATCAGAGTTTTTACTATTTTACTATAGTGGGTGATAAATTACAGTATTTGTATAGGACTTATTGTTATACTGGGGTTTATTGTTGTAAAGGGTATCATTTTAAAGAGGTTTGACTGTATTACATTTGATCAAATATTTTTTTTATCATCATATTAAGAGAGAATTTTCACAATAATAATCTTTTTTATCATTTAATATAATTTTTATAAAATGAAATTAATAAGTGTGATCAGAGGGCCGGCACCTCTTTAGTGCCTCATCAGAATTGACACCACTATGTCCTGATTGACAGGGAAGCTGAGATGGCGTGCTGATTCGGTCACGCAAGCGGCTGCGTGTGTGGGCAATCAGATTCAGGATGGAGATGGGTTGAGAGACAGTGTACCGGAAGTGACTCACTCAGATACCAAGTTAACAACTAATAACAATTTAATTTCAAAGAAAACATGATACAATTTTGTTACAGTTTCATTAGGCCTTAACTTCAAAGGATCTTTAAATGAAAATGGTCACAAGAGAAAGAGTTTACATGAGATTTGCATGGCGATAAATATGTTGGGTTGATGATGTTCGAAAATAGTCTGATGCTCTTGGGAGGTGTTCTTGATTGTGTAGCAAAGTATCATAGTCACTGGAGATAGTTTGTCTTCAAAATGCATAACTGTAAACGAGGAAGTATCCGTTGAACTGAAGTATCTGCAAGAACTAGGTATATCCGTTGGCACTAAATAAGGCACTAGATAAGTTTGATATTCCGTTGAGGGACTGGTGACGACTCTTTGACTGTCTGTTTGGTATCATTTTAAAATGATGAAATTGGGACAGCAGGTTGGAAGGTTGGTGAAAGCATCTTTTTTGACACTGAGAACATAATAAATAATTTATTCCCAGGTGTGAAAGTTGATAGATACTTGTCAAAGTTGATGTTACAATGTTAAATTGTTTATGTTGAAGTCTGATTCTCACATAAGTATATATAGTATAGCATACAGCTATTTCTTGTTTTCTTTCAGTTAGATATTAATACATTAAATTTAAAATAATCATTCATAAAAAAATATATAATTATTTTACACAATATGGTAACAAAAGTATTTTCCCAGGCAGTTATTTCAGAAATAAATAATAACTATTGTTGATTTTTTGTTAATAAAGTATGTACTAAATGATGTTACCACCATCTTCCCCCTTCTTAGATGTTGGACAAAACAAGATACTTTCTATTGGAAATAGGACATTAATAACAATTAAGAAGTTGTAGAGAATGATAAATGTGTGATTTCAGCTTTTCTTCCATACCAAAATAGCAAATTGAACAGGCTATAAAAGAAACAATGCTTACATACATCCCTGCATAACTAGTGTACAATGTAGGAGGTACTGAATACAATGTTCATGCAGCTATAGATAAGTTCGAAAGATCCAGTTGAATGGTAAATACTGAAAATTAGAGGTAAATTTATAAGGAATTTGCTATTGTAGCAATCGAAGACACTATGATTTTAGAATGGTGGCGTATCACTTCAACATGGATACAGCTTGGGAGTGGTTAAATGTCATGTTCAGATTGCAATGGATTGGCTCCAAAATTCTTAGCTGTTGCCTCAATTGATTTTTTTTCCTCTGTAGGGCTGCTTGAAGTTTAAGGTTTATTATACATAGCCACTGAATGCAATATGAAAATATATATTCTGGTTTCTTATGCTGCCATAATATTATAGTTAGCTGTGCAAGTGTCTTGTAGTTTTAAAGTTTCAAAGCTATAAGCATACATCATTGTAGAAAGTAATAGTTTTGAGTATGTAAAATTAAAGATTTGTACAAGGTCTGTTCAAAAAAAAGATTAGACTTTTGTCATACAAACTTTAATACCATGATTACAATATTATACATGCTTGTCCACTTTAGAGTACTCCCCTGCTTGCAATGCACTGTTCTCATTGTTTTTGCACTGTTTGGAATGTTCCCTGGAACTCTTTGTGAGATGGCACCTAACTGTCTGTCTGTGAATAATGTTCAGTATCATCTACAATTTGAAAATGACATCTTTTCAGAGTGTTTTTAACTTTGGAAACAGGAAAAAGTTTGCAGGATCCAAGTTTAGAGAGTAGAGGGTGGGGAAGGACTGCTAAGGCTGTTAGTGGCCAAAAATTGGTCAACAAGCAGAGATGTGAGATGATGCATTGTTGTGATGCAACATCCAGCTCTTGTTTTTTTCACCGTTCAGGCCTTTTTCAGTGCATATCTTTTCTCAAACACCTTAAAACTTCTAAGTAGAATTCCTTGTTAACAGTCTGACCTTGTGGCATGAATTTGTGATGAACTATGACCTGATGATAAAAAAAAACAAAGTTGGTTTCTCAATCTTGAATCTTCCTCAATCAATGTTCTGCCTGATTAAAACACTTAAATCACTTGTGACACTGAATGATTCATATGATCCTTCTTATAGGCCTGCTGAAGCAAAGCTAGTTTCAGTAAAAGTTTTGCCAGTCTTAAAATAAAATTTTACCCAAACAAGTTGCTCCTTAAAATCTTTCATCTTCACATTGCAGAATGGTAACTACACATGTTTACTTTGACAGTTCTAGATTGCCAACCAATCACAGTACTATAATGTGCTAAGTGGTGGTGTTTTACTGGTATTTCTGGCTACCTGGCATCATTTACTGGAGTTTAATCGGTGTTATGGTTCATGCACTAAGACTTTTTTTTTTTTAACAACTTTGTAAACATCAGTTTTTTAATGTATTTTCTAAACAGCTGAATCATTTGATTATGTCCATGTTTGTGTGAATAATGCATTCAGTCTCTTGCATTGTACTTGTGCAAAAGCAGAAACTATATATTGTCATTTTTTTACAACTTTGTAATTGACATTAATGCCTACTTTCAGTAGAGGCAGTAATAGCTTTCACCTTTCATAACCTAAGGGAAAGATGATGGATGGTAGCATTATTCTCTAGTACATACTTAACTTTGTCAACATTTGTCAATGTATACTGTGATTTTTACTATTTGTTGGAATAAAATTTGTTATTGTTGTGTGTGTGTGTGTGTATACATACATATGTATACATTATTATATATTATATATACGTTACTGTGAATGACTGATATCTGGCAAATGTCAACATTCTCCGGTGAATGTCAGCATTCACACAGTCGTTTCGTGTATGTACGAAATATTTGCTAAATATCCTTATTTCTCACTTACACCGGCAAATGTCGACATTCAGCATGCATTGATGGTGAATGTTGAATAAAAATATTTTTATTACGTTAAGACAAAAATGCAACTTTTTAATATGTCAAAATAGGACTTATATAGGTTTAAGTAACAGCGCATGTAAATAAACTGTTTAACCTAAAACGAACAGTACATTCTTAATCAGAAAAGAAAAATAATACGCAATAGTAAACTCACACATATATTATGTGATTAAAGTTATAAAATCTTATTTATTGCAACAACTTAAATTGTTATGGCACTTTGAATTGCACAAGAGTCCCTTGCTTTTACAACTACATTCATTCGTGGAACACTTCTTTTTGCAATGACAGCGTGTATAGCCTTGTCCTCCACTTTTCAAATTAGCTGCAGCTGTTTCTCTCAGTGATATTTCTTGAGAAGAAATCTCATCTATGGAAAGTAACTTTTCTTTACAAATTACGAACTGATCTGTTAATGGTGTCTTTTATTCGGATATTGCTGACATCTTACTGACAACCCCTCTCATCCTCCGCCACTCGACCTGACAAACCGATCCCCATCTCACAGGATCAAAAGAACAAAAACACTATCCAGTGACAAAGTAAGCAGTTTCTACCAAACTGTCACTGGATAGTGTTTTTGCCGGGAAAAGAGGTACGACCTTGTCCTATCTCCGGCTACCCACAAAGGATTTGGTGACAGACTGTCGCCTCTCTGTTGACATTGGTTTCTCGAGTGTTGTTTCGACCTCCACCAAAGCTTATCTGTGCTTGTCGACATACACCGGCGATTGTTCGAATGTATAATAATATAACCAAATATTCGGTCTTTCACCGACGTATTTTGTATGTGTCGACATTCACCGGAGAATATCGACATTCTCTAATTTCGGTCTTTCACAGTAACATATATATTGGCGGTACATCTGTAATATTTATCTAATTTTTGAATTGAAAAAAAAATGCATAAATTAACTAATAGATAAATTATGACAAAGTGAACTTGTATGATATTAGAACATGTGCATAATTTTCTTAGTCTGCTGGAAGTGGTGGTACTAGTGGAGGAAAGTCTGAACAAGAACTGCAGGAGGAAGAAGAATTGCAGTTAGCTTTAGCTTTATCTCAAAGTGAAGCTGAAAGTCAAAAAGAAGTGAGTAAAAATATTTAAGTTCTGCATATAAATATGAGGGGGAAAATGTCAAAAGTAAGGTTTCTTATTTATTTTGGATGTAAACAAACTATAACTTCTACATGCACACCAGGGTGTGTATAATAAAAATTCAACTTAAGCCTCTAACCAATGTGAAAAGGTAAAATTTGAAACAACAAACATTTTCTGAACACCTTCCATGTTCTTCATCAGGTAATCTAGGTCTGGAAAACCGAATTTTAAAATAAATCAGGTAATGCTTCTGACACAATATAGTGCTATAAATTAAGACACTTGGCGGATTTTCTCATCTTTATTTAGTTGATACGTGTGGAAAAAATTAACTAAATAAGTATCAACTTATTTAGTTAATTTTTTCATTTTACATTATTTAGTTATTAGTTTAGTTAGTACTTATTTAGTTAATTTTTTCATTTAACATTAATATTTAGTATCAACTAAATAAAGATGAGAAAATCCGCCAAGTGTCTTAATTTATAGCACTATATTGTGTCAGAAGCATAAACAAATAGCAAAGCACGGTTTCATATCATAAAAAAAAATCAGGTAATCTTATTCTGGAAAACCGAATTTTAAAATAAATCGAAGGATGATAGTTTGATTGTCCAATGTCCATTGCGCACGCATTGTACATGTCATGTTCCCTGCTGTTGAGATTTGCATTAATTCTTCAGGGATTCAATAGATGTCTTGCAATTTAAATGGGTCACACGGGTCCTTTCCATTCCATAACATCACTTCAACAAATCGTGCCAAGTTTGGTGTTGTTTTCCATATAATAACATCGTCATCTACATGCTGGACATCATGCTTTACAGAAGATATGTAGATGATGATGATATATGGAAAACAATGCCGAACTTGGCACAATTTGTGAAGCGATGAATGATAATCCCTATGGGCTGTCACTCGAAGTAGATTAACACAGCAACACTAATGTCCATTTCTTAGATATGGATATCAGGATTCGGGGATCCAACATCCACAATATAGTCTATCGTAAACTGTGTGCAAGCCCCACATACATACCGAGTGACTCGTGGCCCGTTTCAATACAAATTAGTCGCTTTTAGATCATTGGTTAGAAGAGCATACACTCATTTATCTACTCAAGAGGCACTTAGGGAAGAGAGAACACATATTGAGAAGATTGCCAATATGCATGGCTACCACAATGTTGTTCCAAGAATCTCAGAATGCTACAACAGAGCACTAATTTCTCACAACACCTCTATGACGACACTGGGGGACAACCACGGTACTGAGGTTGAGAGGATTTCGCTTACATTCAACCCTGTCTTGAGATCTGTATATGTAGCTATCACCAAAAGATGTAATGTCATCATTGCATACAAGAGAGGCCCTACTATGTTTGACATGTTATGGAATGGCAAGGACCTGCCTGACCTGTTTAAATTGCCAGGCATCTATCGAATCCCTGTTAGGGATGAAAGATTCAACAGGGATTTGATCTACATAGGATCAATGAAATGCTCAATGGGATAAGAATAAGAGAACACAAATCAGACATACAATACAACAGAGCCACCATGTCACTCCAGTGTATGCTTCTGACCTGGGCATTACTATTGACTTCACAGGGGTAGCATTAATAGTCAAAACAACATGGATGGACCACCTCAAATGGCTGGAAGCTGTAGAGATATATAAGATGCACAGTTCATCTGAGTGCATTAATTACCGGGAGGAAATGGCTCTTTCGTTGGCTTGATAGGCCTTATTGCATAATAATTCTTAATGATTTATTTAATATCGGATGATGCACGACATATACAATGCATGCGCAATGGACATTGGACAATCGAACTATCATTGTTTGATTTATTTTAAAATTTGGTGTTCCAGAATAAAGAATCCAGCTAGATTACCTGGTGAAGAACATGAAAGGTGTTCAGAAAACATTTGTTGTTTCGAATTTTACCTTTTCACACCAGTTAGAGGCTTGAATAAGTTAAATTTTTATTGTAAATAAACTAATTCCAAAACAAGGTTTACTGTAAGACAGTTGCCTAGATAGACAAGATGACTTTGTAGCAGTAGTTCAAAGAAAAAAATGTCTTATTTGTAGAGATTTATATTGCAGAATCTCTTAAACAGTTGTACTTCGGTATACATCTGCTTTAGAATATGTCCAATTCAGAATACGTCCTGTTTGGATGAAACAACTTTTGTTCAGTACACAACTTAATTCAATTATACACGCCATCTGTGAACAAATAGCACTATCGGCGTACTAGACCAGACCAGGCATTCGTGGTACCACAGTTTATAACTTTGTTAAATTTCTTTTGGTTTTAATTTGTAAGTAAAATTTTATTATTTTTATTAATCATGAATTGCAAAAAGGCAAATGAAAAGCAACAGAAAACTAAAAGAATGACTAGAATCACAATGGAACTGAAAAAAGAGATTGTTGAGAAATACGAAGGTGGCATGCGTGTTTGAGATTTTAACTGTTGCATACCGTATTCCGAGAATGACAATATCGACAATCATGAAAAAATAAAGACATTATTAAATCTGCTAACGTTGCGAAAGGGTTAATGTTAAATCAATTTTTAAACAGAGATCAAAGACATTAGATCATGTTGAGAAAATGCTTTTGCTTTGGATAACTGAAAAACAGTGTGCTGGTGACAGTGTATCAGAAGTAATTATTTGCGAGAAAGCTAAAAAGATGCATGCTGATTCATGAAAAATCAAGCAGGAACTAGCCATGAAAGTGAGGTGTTTAAAGCCAGCCATTTTTTTTACATGAGAACGGATTAATCAGTTTTACATTACTTATGGGAAAGGTTGGTTTGATATGCGTCCAGTTCGGTATAAGTCCAAACATCAGGAATGGATTACGGTCGTATACCGAGGTTCCACTGTATATCTTCATCAAATTGTAAGTACAAGCTTTCACAAAACTTGTTTTTTTTTTTTTTTTATTTGTGGTTGAAAGAAGTACAGTGGTACAGTAGATCATCGATTATCTGACCCCTGATTAACCGTCACATCGGTTAACCGACCGTTCTAGTCGGCAAATTTCAAATATCTGCTAGTGATGTGGCATTACAATATTTGGCTATGTCTTGGCTACTTTAATATTATTATTGTTAAATTTTTGTGTGTTTTAGCTGGCATCAACGGCTCGACCATTGAAGGGAGGCCAGTATTTAAACGAGACTTAATTTTCTAATTATGAGTGGTTGGTTGTTTCATGAGCAATAAAACAATTTTAAAATAATTTTTAACAATACAATAGCGGCAATTATTATTTAAAAAAAATTTGTTAGGCTAAACATCAATGAAAATTCAACACAAAGTTGGTTAATAGCAATATACTAATATAATAATTACATGGGATATACTAATATCCTCTACTAATAATGTATCTTTTCCCTTCTTTTCGGTTATCCGACCAACCTGAGTCCCCAATTGAGTCTGATAATCGATGCTGTACTGTATCTCATTTCTCAAATTTAATTCATTCTGGGAGGCCATTTAAACTCTGAATTATCAATTTTTCTCATCAGAAATAATGGAAACTGAATTAATCCATTCCCAAACCCTAAATAATACCAATTTCAATGAACAAAACAGTAAATTCACAAAGTTTAAGGTAAAAAAATAACACAACTAAATGCCCTAATAATAAATTAAACCATAAAAACAATAAATAAAATATGTAAATACTCTATAATAAATGAAAATTGCATTTATTGGTCACACCCTATTGATTTTAGCTTTTAAACATGACTGCCTGATCTGTCATACATGTACTGGTTTCATGATTCAAGATAAATACAGGTAGCCCTCGGTTTACTCCGGTTCAATTTACGCCGATTCACAATAATGCTGCTGCACAATTTGCGATTTTGCTGTGTAATTCCCTGATTTTCCCTATGCCAGACTGATTTTCGTTTCAGTGTTGACGTATTTACCGAGCCGTGACATTGTACATTCGTTAAAACAGATTTTTATTGAATATATTTATTTTTTCTGTTTAATATTATTGGGTATGTATACATTTGCATTAAATTAATATTAAAATACTAAACGTTTAGGTATCCACAAGTCAAGTTATCAAACTTAATAGTTCAATAAATGGCGTCCGAATCCATTGCGCCATTGAATTTAACGTATCCTTTTGACCATGGAAAGTTTGACGGTTGAACTTTGTGAGTTAGACAATGATTGGGAGCAAAGTGTGAATGTAAAAAGGAGCATTGTCTCATCCATTCGACCTTATTCCGAAATTCTCAATGAAAGAAAACAAAAATGTAAACAATTAAAGATGGATACTTTTCCGAAAAATGTAAGAGATCGGAAACTAAAATTTTTAATAAAAACATTTAACTTTATTTTATGATAAAATACATTTTAAAAATTAAATTTATTTGTATTTTGTATTAATAAACAAAATTATTTGCATATTTTTCACTTATGTGGAACCTAACCCTATACCTCAGTGTAAATATGGGTTCGTTTTACACTGATTCGATTTGCGCCGGCTTTTGTAGAACGGAACTGTGGCGTAAACCGAGGACTACCTGTACTGTATTTTTGTGGAAGACCAGCATGACAGTTAAACTGCAATTAAAATATAAAATTAATCAGATCTAACAAAACTAGTTGTTAATTAATTAAACGTTAAAGAAAACATTCTTCCAAATACAATAAAATAACTACATTGTAATTTGACTGACTTAAAACCAGGAAGAATTTTCATTTACAAGACAATAAAACAATTAATGACTTATTGACAGTAGTAGTACAGACAGATAGATAGATATTTTATTATAACTTACTGGAGTACAGTAAATATTGGGTGCCACAAATGTATAACCCAGTAACAGTAGTAGTACAGTAGACCCATCTATAACACGGTAGATACATTCCGTCTTATATGAATCCATGTTGTACGAGTCACTTAGATTTTACAAATACATGAGCCATTCACAACCCAAAGC